GGGGGGATGGCGGCGGCATGTGAGTGGCTGCTTTTGCTGCTGCCTTCCCAGTATGATAAGGCGCAGTGCATACCGCGGCTGCAGGGAGCGGTCGTTTGGGTTGCCACCTCCAGGAATTATACCTGATATCGAGACTACAGAGACTCGCTGCTTTGCAGGGTGGGTTCTATGCAACGCTCCCTCTAAGCTGTGCAGTCTTGCGAGCAAAAATTCTACTTTGTGAGCTACTGGTGTTAAAGCTGTGAGCGAGCAATTTGGCTGCTGCATACATTCGTTTCTCTAGAGCCCTTCTTCCTGAGCGAAGACAAAAATGTGTGAGCCGGAGTCTAAGAAACTGAGATACCTCACACTAACTCAGCTTAGAGGGGAACACCGGTTCTAGGCACTGCACCTACTTGAAGTCCCTCCCCCAAACCCTGCCTCCCCCCTGTCTCCAGGAATTTCCCATTCCAGAGATGGCAGCACTAGACCCTGCCACCTTCCATGGCACAGTAGAAGCAACACCACCCCCCTCAGGCTTGGTGTGCCCTAGGGTTGCCGGGTCTTACCTTCGTTGCAGTGGGGGAGTCCCTCGAATGATAGAGGGTCCCCCCCACAACGTGCCTGGCGCAATCCTGGCACTTTGGGGGTCGAATCCGGTGGCCGAATCCGGTCCAGCGGGTAAGGGGCCCGTTGAGCGGGCAAGCCCCCCCCCCTGGGGGGGACCTAGCAACCCTAACATGCCTAGTTTGCCTACAAGCAGTTGGGATTCAAAAGGGGGTCATGGGCCAACCCTCCCTAATGGCCGCCTCTGCGCTCTCCATTCTTGTGTATCTTGGAAACCAGGATCTGACCCTGGGAACAGCATCTTCCATGACCATGTCATACATTCGTTGGTATTTTTTCTTCCCTGCATATGACAAAATAAAACACGTCCTGATAGTTACTCAAGGGAGTTTCTTAGCACCTTAGGGGGGAGATAGAGGGAGCGGTGGAGAAGGTGGTCAAAGGCATGAGTCCCCAACCTGTGGGCACATTTATCATTCTGATGGCATGGAGGGCGCAGCAACAAAATGGCTGCCACAGGAGGCAGTGTCATCCACCATAGGATTGCCCCATCTTCCCTTCAGTAACAAGAGGCAGAGCCTTGTCCTGTGATTGCTGTGGCAACATTTTAAAAAATCTGCCCAGCCAATCAAATCCCCAACAGTCAATCAGAAGCCTTGCTGGTCCGACCCCTAAAAGGATTTGGCTGGCCCCTTGGCTTTTTTTCTGCCAAGGCTGCATATCTCAGAATGCCACTTGATTGGGGTTCAAAGTCGGGCAGCTGCACCCATTGTGCCACACTTGTGACTTTCTCGGGAACATCTGGTTAGTCACTATAAAATGAAGGCTGTACAAGATGGGTGTGTAGTGTATTCAATAGCTGTCATTGAATGCCTAAACATGTATGCGAATCACCTCATAGAAATGTAATGTTAAGCTTCGTCCTGGGCTAGGATCCAAATACATCCAATCGCATGGCTAGCCCAGGAAGAACCAAACAATCGCATATCAGCAAGCTCCCTGAGCGGGAACGTCGATGATTGGTCCTTATGTAAACAATCTCATTGGTTGGTAGTGTACAGTAAAGGCGTGGCTATATTAGCCGGGAGAGTTTAAAAAGGGAACAGCTTTAATGCTAAAGCTGTGCTGGCTATCAGATGTTGATCCGTGTTGGAGTTGTGTTACAATCGTTGAATAAAGCTGATCTTTTGCTGAATCACTCTCCGACTACTTTGTTAAGTGAGCGACTTAACGGTGCTTCTCACTTCTGGCACCTGATACGCCAGCTCTGAACACAGAGAATTTATTCGTGGTATTTATATTTTGCATTTCTGCTGCTAGAGGCCCCTTTACATTCACCCAAGCCAGTAGCTGTCTCCGTTTCTTGTAGTGATAAACTCCAAAAATTAATCATCGAGCTATTTTTGAATGGTCAGCAGGCTATTTTCAGTCGAACCTACTCCTAAGTCCCGTTTCATAGGGACATGCATTGTGTGCTCAGCAGTGATTCATATAGAACAGTCGCCCCACCAGATTGTTAATACTTTTATCACTTATATACTTTATCACTTACATAAAATGGAATCTTTGTTTCACTCAAAATGTATGGATTTTTAATTAGTCATTTAATTTATAGCACAACCCATCCCAACAGCTCGTGCTGGATAGTAATATTATTATTTATTAGATTTGTGAATTGCCCAATCCCTGCTACTGCCCTATTCCTTCAGTATCCATGGCCACCAGGAATCAATCTGAATAAAAAGTCTTGTAAGTTTCCCATGTAGGCTTGAGCTTTGGTGAGTTTCCAGTGGAAGAGAATCGAGTGGAAGGTCAGCTGCTAAAGAGGCCTGCCTTTGTGGTCTTGGGGAAAGATCTGGCACACGGGTGGCATCTAAGTATTTCCACCAGAGGCCATCGTGAATCATAAGGATGGAGGCACACTTCCTTGGGTATCTTCAATCATCTCCGGGGGCTGATCAGCACTTTGTGCACTACTCATCTTTGGGAAAGAGATGCTGAACATGGACATTTGCTGCATGACGGATTCCTAAAGCAAGGCTCCCCCACCTTTTCGAGCTCGTGGGCACCTTTGGAATGCTGACACAGGGCGATAGGTACAATCCCAAAATGGCTGCTGCAGGAGGCGGAGCCAAGCATAAAATGTAAGGGATCAAGGTTATATTCACTCTTAAGGTAGAACCTCTGTTTACCAGGAATTCCTTTTTAATCTGTACAGCCAATCAGAAGAACTGCTGGGCAAAAGCCACCTTTAACTCCTGGCCACACCCACTTTCTAAATGCACTTGGCAGTCATCAGGAGAGGTGTCGTGGGCGTGGCATCATTTCCCCAGGTTTCCTGATGGGCCACAGAGCCACAAACACCTATAGGTTCCCTCACTTGGGTCCCTTCATGTCTCCTGCAGGAGGGGGAAGGCTAGCTGTGCTGCCACAAAGCGTGGCAACAAAAGTTGCAGATACAGGAATCAAGTCCCTTATATGGCTTTTGGGCAGACTTCTCTTTTAAGAGCAGGTTCTTTAAGGTGCCATGTTACTCTCCAGTTGGGGAGATGCAGAAAAAAATCCATGCTCTTCTTCAAGGATACCACAGATACTCAGATAGTGGCACTCGCTCCCACTAAAACTCCTTTCTCCAGAATTCTGTGGTTATTGTCTTACAGGAGCGGTAGCAATAAAATAGTTGAGTCTAGTGGCACCTTTAAGTTTAATTCTGGGCATAAGCACAAAAACGTATACCCAGAATTAAACTTTGTTGGTTTGGTGTACTGGTGAATAGCATGGACTGTAATCTGGGAGAACCGGGTTTGATTCCCCACACCTCCACATGCAGCTGCTGGTGTGACCTTGGGTCAGTCATAAGTTGTTTGAGAGCTCTCTCAGCCTCACCTACCTCACCATGGTGTCTGTTGTGGGGAGAGGAAGGGAAAGGAGATGGTAAACCGCTCTGAGACTCCTTTGGTTAGTGAAGGGCGGGGTGTAAATCCAATCTCCTCTTCTAAAGGTGCCACTGGACTCAAACTTTGTTCTGTTCCTTCAGGCCAACATGGCTACCCACCTAAATAACAATATTAACAGCCATTAAAGACAAAGCTTGCCGCCAAACTCTACAAGGTATATTCAAAAGGAAGAGACAACCCCGAACATGATAGAGTATTTCCTGCATCAAGTGCTGGTTTACAACCAACTTTGTGTTAAGTGTGATTTGGCCATTGCTATGAGGGTATACGATCTGTGTTCAGTGAGCTTGAAGAAAGACATGCCACTGCCTTCCAGGGCTGCTGCCATTCTGGAGCAATCAGCAGTCCATTTTTTACAGACCGACCGGACTCCAGATTTATAGTCTCATTCTAGCAAATGAATTGAGGTTTTCTGAACCACTGGACCAAAGGCATGACAAGTACCCCGCTGGCACTTTCGCCCTCGCAGCAATGGCCAAATCACACTTAACACAACGTTGGTTGTAAACCGTTTGCAATCTAAACACACATTTGTGTGTGTGTGTGCGTGTTTTTGGGTTGTGGCTTCAGTGTGATCTCTGTGGACTGTGATCGAGCCATTACTCCAGAATCCAGACTTTAGAGCATCACTTTCTCTTCTGCAACTGCTTTCTGCTGCAATTCGAGACATCCACACCCAGATGACACTGCCTTATATTGTCAGAAAATCCATCTGTTTGTCTTATGTGTCCTGTGACGGGCAGCAGTCTGACGCCTTCCCCAGCCTCGCTAGCCATTATTTTCGAACTAGAGATGCCTGGGAATGAATTGGAGGCTTTCCGAATTCAAAGCATGTGTTCCATCCCTGACCTCGGCTTGCAAGTCAGCTTTATCAAAATCAGCAGATGACGGGAGCAAAATGGGAGAGAAGGGATTAGGCTGTGCGTTCAAAGTGCTCTAAAATCCTTATGTCATTTATCCACACAGCAATCCTGTGAAGCAGGTCTTTGATTATTTCTGCCCTGAGACTGATTTTGCCATAATTCAGTGGTTTTGAATCCAGCCTCCATTAGGTCATGCTGTTTCTTGTGGATTTGCTTTAAACTATTCCTCAGCAAGGACTACAAACCGGTGGTGGAAAAACCCCAGCACACTCATTGTTTTTCCATGGGGTGTGTGAAATTTGTTCAGCTGGCTGAAGTCTCAAGCTTGCTAGACCTCAATGAGGTTAAGCAAACTGAGTATGGTACACAGTATATGGATATTACACTACACAAGGATTATTACTGTGATAAGTGTGCTAAACTAAGTAATACAGTACTGCAAAAATCAG